CTAAGAGTTTAAGACAGTGTATTTGTATGCATTTTAGAAGGACTCTTTATTGGTGAGGTTACCACATCATGGTCCAGTTTGAATATGGATTTAAAGGTAATTTCGACATGAGACTATAGTCTGGACTATTTTTGATTGTTCCTGGTTAGGAAGAGTCTGTTGTTTGAGAGATGTGGTGTGTTTTCATTACAAGAGGTTGGATTATTCATTTGCTATTAGTCAACTTCAGCTATGGACAGTGTTTGGACATTGATGTACTACAGATAAGACTCGCACACATCAACTTTCACATGACGAAATCCTACAATCTTACATTGCTTTGTTTGCTTCTTTTGTTTCGTTTTTTTTTTTGTAATTTTGTGTATTTACATTTTTGGCTATATGTACCTGTATTAACCTGAATTGAATGTTTTCTATTTTGTATTTAATAAATCCATTGATTTGAAATCCCTTTGACTACTGTACATTTTTGACAATATAGACATTAGTTATGTGGTGTCTGCATCCATTTCAGATGTATAATAACTGTTGTTATAGTAGCTGAAAGTATTTAAAATGAAACAGATGTATTGTTATAGATCAGGGGTGCATCCTGTTCCTGGAGATCTACCTTCCTACAGAGTTCAGTTATAACCCTGATAAAACAAACCTGTCTGTAGCTATCAAGTGCTCCTTCAGATCCTAATTAGTTGGTTCAGGTGTGTTTGATCAGGACCAGGGTTGGGCACCCCTGTTGTAGATTAACCCTGTGTTCCATTCGGAAGGGCTCATCCCTATGCCCTAATCCCTTCAAAGGGTTTACCCTCCGGAGTGAGAGCTTCAAAGGGTTGAAGGGTGTAGGGGACCAAACAACCGTTTCTTGAAGTGCCCTTCTGCGTCATCATCACGTGCCCACACGGAGGCGCCGTCATCATGCAAAGAATCTGCACAAAGGATCATGGCAGCCCGAAGTGTGCATCAGTTGTACCCTTCGAAATTCTTCATTCTGAAGGGCCCTTTGAAGTGACCAGTTTTGAGCACTTCGGTTTGGAACGATCCTTCAATATGGCTGCCATGATTGTTTTCACTCTGAAGTGCCCTTCGGAGGGCGATATATCCCGTTTGGAACGCACTGCACTAGTGTGGGCTATGTGAGGGCTACCCGCTGGGGGCCCTTAGGCTAGCCCTAAGTGGGCCCATAAAGGGCCAGTGCAGGCTTGTTTCCAGGGATTGCTTCTGACGTATAAAGACCTGTTGTGCTTAATTAAATTATTGTTTATGTGATTGTTTGGTTGGTTAGTTTTTTTTTTTTGTTTGTTTGTTTGTATTGTCCATCCAATTGGAGATGTAGTGTTTTTGTGAACCAGTTTTGACCAGTTTGAAAAAAAAAATACATATATTGTTTTGTTTTATTTTGTTTTGTTCTTTTAATTTATTATTTAATTTATTTATTTTTTATTTTACAGTTGTTCTGTGTTTTATGTAATATTTTACTCTATAACTACACAATGCAGCATTTGTTTTTGTTTATGAAACCGTGTTTTACACACCTGTCTCTGCAAACGTTTGCTAAAGAGGTTTTATTTTTCATGTAATGTTGGAACCGAGTGCTGCCGCATTCATGTGATAATGTGAAAACGTTTGAGTTGTATTTCTGCAGAGTTTAATAAATAAATAAATAATTTAAAAAAGTTAAATATAGCTCTGCATTAGTTTATTATAGTAATTTGCATTGTGTTGTCATTGTTTGTATTCCTCTCAGGTGTGACCACTGTACTGACTATGACCACTTTGAGTATCAGCGCCCGTAACTCCCTGCCAAAAGTCGCCTACGCCACAGCTATGGACTGGTTCATCGCAGTGTGTTACGCCTTTGTCTTCTCTGCCCTGATTGAGTTCGCCACCGTCAACTACTTCACCAAGCGGGGCTGGGCTTGGGATGGCAAGAGTGTGGTCAGTGACAAGGTAATGATCATTAATCATGTCCCAGCATGCTTTGTGTTGTTTGGGTGGGGTGGCGTATGGATCGGATTGATTGATGTGGCGACAGTGCAGTAAATTTTTGAGTGATGTGATGTCACGGTGAAAGTGAAGTGAAGTGTGACTGATGGTAATTCAAGAGCACATCATGTTGATGTGGATTTGGCTTGTCCAATAAAAAATAAGATCACCTGAATATCTCAGTTGTTCCTTCTAGACAGCCACGTGATTATCCCTATAAAGCCTACAGTATCTAGTACATGCCTTCTATCATCTTATTGATAGTTTATACTTTTTTTAGCAAGTAAAATACCTTTTTGTATAATTGTAAATCTGTCCACATTCAGCTCGTGGTTCACATGTTTTTTTGCTGTGAAATCTTTACTGAATTTTATAAAGTAAATGTTAGAATAGCTTTGATATTGTTAGCAATATTTTACGATATACTATTTTTTAATATATATTTTTTATATAATATATATTTTTTAGAAAAATCACATTAAAATGTCAGTGTCAAATATGATCCTCAGAGGGACGTTTATTTGTTCATCTCTCAGTAATCATTGTATTATATGTTTTGCCCCCACAATAAAACTACAAAGCTTTGATCATAAAACTATGCATTACATGTAAGACATTGGCACATATAAAGTGACAACTAATATTTTTATATTATTTTTATCTAAGTAGTCTGGTATACTCTTATAAATAATCTCACTGATTTACATTGCAAGCTGTCAGAATTTCATCTTACTTTTTGGCCATATAAATATCAGCAACAAATTGCATATTTTGCTCAGTTTGGGCTTTTGAATAAAACTGAGATTTTTTTTTCTTCTCAAATGAGCTCCATATTCACATATATCATACTGAGCCATAAAAGCCTGATGTATCAAATATGATACTCAACAAAAAAACACATATGCACATGTATTTTTTTTTTGTTTTGTTTTTTTTGTCAAAATATTCAATAAATGGTTTCAAAAAAGTTGTTTTCTTCTGACAACTGTTTAATATGTCAGGCTTTACGGTGTTAAACAGACTTTTACTGAATTGCCTGGTTTCCAGATGTTTCTCCTGAGAAACAGGCCATAATAATCTCACATGTATGAGATCTCGATATGAATTCAATATAAAATATTTCTTGTCAAATTCATATATTTGACAATAATCTATTTTAAGTTCTTTATGATAAACATCTGAGACAAAGTTGATACCTAAATGAATGTGTATATAAATCGTATATTATTTTCTTTTTATATTTTATGTTTTATTATTGCATTACCAATATGTTTCTCCATTTGATTAGGGCACCAAGCAATTTGTGTCTCATTACGCTTTACCTTTTTAAAATAGATGGGGGTTGATTTTATATGCTGAACAACAGCACTTCATTGTGTCTTTTTCTGTAAAGTAATTTCTTCTCCAGCAGTTCCCTGATATCCTGACTGTAAAGCCATGCTGATAGAATCATCCGCCATCTATGATACATGCAGCTCGCTGTATTTCTGCTGCAGGTCAGGGTGAGATAACCACACATATAAGTCCAGTATGATCTTATCATGGAGCACTGCAGATTTTCACTCATATCTTGTTCATTTGTGCCAGAGTCAGGGTCAGATTACACAGAGGGTTCATCTTGATCTTATTAGAATTCATTAGCAATTATTCATGCAAACAATCTGAACTGATTGATTACAGAAGAAAATTGTTTTTTATATATATATAGTTTGTAACGAAAATGTGAGTGGTGATTTAATGTGTAAAACTCACTGCCACTATGCCATGTTGCTGTGGGAGGTTGCTAAAGCATTCCTATGCAGTTGCTAATGAGTTCTACAGTAGGTGTTGCTATGGGTTGCTAATGAGTTCTAGGTGTTGCTATGACATTGCAATGCGATTGCTAACATGTTCTAACTGTTGCTATAGGGTTGTTAACAAGTTGTAGGTGTTGCTATGGCATTGCTATGTGGTTACTAACATGTTAGCAACCTGTTGCTATAGCTTGCTAATGAGTTCTTGGTGTTGCTAGGGCATTGCTATGTGGCTGATAACATGTTGTAGGTGTTGCTGTGGATTGCTAATGAGTTCTAAGTGTTGCTAGAGTGTTGCTATGTGGTTGCTGATATGTTCTAGGGATTACTATGGATTGCTAATGAGTTCTAGGTGTTGCTAGAGTGTTGCTATGTGGTTCATGTTCTAGGCATTGCTATGGATTGCTAATGGGTTCTAGGTGTTGCTAGGGCATTGCTATGTGGTTGTTAACATTTTAGGTGTTGCTATGGATTGCTAATGAGTTCTAGGTGTTGCTAGGGCATTTCTGTGTGGTTGCTGACATGTTTTAGTTGTTGCTTGGGTGTTTGCTAGATGGTTGCTTACTGTTGAGGTCAAAAATCAGCTATGATTTTATGGTCTAGATATATGGTTCATGGTGCAGATATGGTGGGAAATAGCATGTTTGAAATTCATGTTCATGTACAAACAGTGTGGGAAAAGTTACACCCCAAAGTTTAATAGTTAGTCTTAGAGATTTCTAAAAACCGATAATGAGAGAAAGATGATCCAAGACCAGCATATACCTGACATTTATTTGCAGACAAGATTTATGACAGCACTGTCAGTTAAAATTAAGTCCAAGCAAAACTGCATTATATGCTATTTTCCAGTCAAATGATTTTAATTAATATTTGATTTTAGTGATTGAAAGAATTATTGTAATCCAGTGAGGACAACCCTGAAATATACTGTCAATCTGTCTTTCTGACAGACTTATCGTCATCACATCCACAGAACCAATCTGGAGTCTTATTCTCATTATCTGAGATTGATTAATTTCGGTTTCAGAGGGTCTCTTCCTTCACCTAGTCAGACTCTGTAGCACAAGATCATTGCTTATTCATGAGCCTTCAAATTTCCACAAATCACATTCTTCCCACTAAAGGTCAGTCAGCCAATCAGAAATGACAGCCTGTAGAATTGGCATGTTTATGCAGATTTTGGCACTGTCTTCCTCCTTCAGTCACAGGAATTAGATGTCCATTTCTTGGTCCAAGTTTTTGGTGTCTAAATCTGATGCACCTGAAATAGATCTAATCAGTCTTTCATTACCTGTCATGATAATGTCCAAGTCATGCTTTCACACCAAAAGAAAGAAACACAAAAATGTTTAATTTCTCATTGACATAATTTTGTCTCATTTAGCGTAATTTTGGCTTAAATGTTGCATAATTGTGATTAAAGTATCACAATACAGTGTGTGTGTGTGTGTGTGTGTGTGTGTGTGTGTGTGTGTGTGTGCAGAGGCGTACCTGAAGTGGGGGCCCCAGGCAAAATGAATCAGTGAGGCCCTTCTAAAATATTTTTTTTATTTGTTAATGTATCTTTGTTACCTAGTGATATAATTATACAACATATGAAATGTGGACAAAACACATCTAGTATATAATGCACAAAACAGGACGCGTGCTCTCTTTCACTCGGATGTGCACGCTCAAACCTGTGCACTCAAATCTATAAAAAGTCTTCTCTCCTGAAATTAATGTTGCCAGAAGCCCATCAACCACCAGACTTCCATGACTGACTGATGAAATAACAGAGTACCTTTCAATTGTAAAAACAAAATATGGATCCATCTTTGTTAGCATTTTCAAGCTGATTTTGGTCAGTGAATTCTCGTTATTTATTTTATTATTTAGCCTAATAGTAATTTGCATTAAGTGCCTATTCTAAATAGGTATTTATTGAATTGTTTTATGTATATCAGCAAGTGAACGAGTTGCGGCGAAGCTCAGGAAAAGAATGTTTAGTTGTGTATTTGTAGTCTGTGCGTTTCTCTTCGCGAGACACGAATAACATCTTTTGTGTAGCCTAATGAATTCAAGCACAATATCGAACGGAGGAAAAAAATATTTATCATTTTTAATTTTAATTTTAATTTAATTTTAATTAATTAATTTTAATTAGGCTGTAAAAAATGGGAATGTTAAAATATTTAAGGCACAGTTGCATGACAACCTAGCCCGTTATCATTTGCTCATGGAAACAATCTATGGATTGCTAATGAGTTCTAGGTGTTGCTAGAGTGTTGCTATGTGGTTCATGTTCTAGGCATTGCTATGGATTGCTAATGGGTTCTAGGTGTTGCTAGGGCATTGCTATGTGGTTGTTAACATTTTAGGTGTTGCTATGGATTGCTAATGAGTTCTAGGTGTTGCTAGGGCATTTCTGTGTGGTTGCTGACATGTTTTAGTTGTTGCTTGGGTGTTTGCTAGATGGTTGCTTACTGTTGAGGTCAAAAATCAGCTATGATTTTATGGTCTAGATATATGGTTCATGGTGCAGATATGGTGGGAAATAGCATGTTTGAAATTCATGTTCATGTACAAACAGTGTGGGAAAAGTTACACCCCAAAGTTTAATAGTTAGTCTTAGAGATTTCTAAAAACCGATAATGAGAGAAAGATGATCCAAGACCAGCATATACCTGACATTTATTTGCAGACAAGATTTATGACAGCACTGTCAGTTAAAATTAAGTCCAAGCAAAACTGCATTATATGCTATTTTCCAGTCAAATGATTTTAATTAATATTTGATTTTAGTGATTGAAAGAATTATTGTAATCCAGTGAGGACAACCCTGAAATATACTGTCAATCTGTCTTTCTGACAGACTTATCGTCATCACATCCACAGAACCAATCTGGAGTCTTATTCTCATTATCTGAGATTGATTAATTTCGGTTTCAGAGGGTCTCTTCCTTCACCTAGTCAGACTCTGTAGCACAAGATCATTGCTTATTCATGAGCCTTCAAATTTCCACAAATCACATTCTTCCCACTAAAGGTCAGTCAGCCAATCAGAAATGACAGCCTGTAGAATTGGCATGTTTATGCAGATTTTGGCACTGTCTTCCTCCTTCAGTCACAGGAATTAGATGTCCATTTCTTGGTCCAAGTTTTTGGTGTCTAAATCTGATGCACCTG